AGCCAAGTTTGACAAAAGTTTTGTAATACATTATCTCCGAAGTGCTACCCTGGTCAACGAGAACACGTTCGATGGTGAATCTGTTTACACGTAGCTCAATGACAAGAGGATCAGTGTGGGGGTGGGTCACTCTAACTAAATCACTGTCATCGAAACTAATCCTTCTAATGTCGTGTGGCCGTTTCGGTGGCGTCAAAAGGCTATAGGTGCTAGACGGCAACCGGATTGTGTGCACCTCGGGTGGCGCCGTCAAGCTGTATATCATATGAATTACACCAAGATGAGGTGACTCCGGCCGTAGAGCTACTGTATTTGTTGAATTGTTCTTTCGGATGTATTGCGTAAGACGACCGTCTTGCACCAATTCTTCAAGGTGATCTTTTAATACATAACAAATATTGATGTCATGACCATGGTCTTTATGATACTCACACCATTTATCCTATCTTCTAGCATTGGGAGGTCCTATCATCTTGGGCGGCCACTTGAAGAATGAACAGTGTTGTACTTTCGACAGAATCTTATTGATCGGCTCTGTTAGTTCCGTGTATTTCTTGCCCGAACGCCTTGTGTGCCCACTATCCACTTGATACTGTTCATTAGCTCGATGTGAACATTGGTCGTTTGATCGGCACGAGTCATGCCTTTTGTCTCGTTTAGGTCGATTCCGCCGCTCGGGGCTTCTTAACAGCACAGGGCTAATCAACTGAACAATTCCCGACGTGGCCATCTCAACGGCTTTACGTCTGGCTTTGACTCGAAGGGCATCGTCTTCCACTTTGCAGTATTCTTCGACCTTCTTCATTAATGCCCAGACGGTTTTGGAGGGACACCTAGTTAATGAACAGCGGAGGGGGCTATCAGGATGCAATCCCATCTTAAAGGTGGTGATGGCCATGGAATCATTGCAAGCATCATCTACCAGATTCAAGCACTCCCAATAGCGGGCCGAGTATTCACGAAGAGTTTCTTCCGGTTTAATTTGCATGGCCCAAAGAGAATCAGCTTGCTTCGGCTGGACTTCATTAGTGATGAAGCTTGCCCTGAATGACTTTTGGAGTTGGTGGAAGCTCTTAATCGATGCCAGCTCCAGTTTATAGTACCACCTCACGGCTAGTGGTCCCATACTACTTGGAAATATCCGACACATGAGGGCTTCGTCGTCAGCATGGAGCGTCATCACTTGCTTGTAATGACGAATATGATTAGTGGGGTCTGATTTTCCATCGTAGAGGGTGAACGACGGTGCCTTGAACTTTTTGGATAGCACAGCCCTGGCAATTCGTCGCACGAATGGGTCATGTTTATCTTCTTCATCCAAATCATCGCTTTTTCTTCGTCTATGCTGTACATATGGACTTCTTTTAGACGAGCTGGATACATCAACTCACCCTTTCTTTCTAGGCTCCACGGATGGTGAGTCTGAATCACTATCATTATTGCGTTTCTGAAGTCAACGTCGATGACCATCCTTCTTTCCCGAAGGTCGATCTCGGTCTTGGCATGCGCCTTGTTGGGATTTCACCACCTCCAAGGCCAAATCCTAGCGTAGACGCTCATTTTCAGCCATCATGTTCTCTAGCCGCTATTCATTTTGCTTTACCTGATCCATAATCGTCTGCATTATCTCATGCATTGAAGTTGAAGGTGAGGTCTGAGCTACTGAATCAAAGTTCAAGGCACGTTGCACGGCGATAGTCTCTGGTCCCAACATGTTTCTTGAAGTGAGGTCGTCTCTTGGTGTAGTTTCGTCAATGACTATTGGAGGATCTTCTATGACGCTCGCCATGAATAAGCTTTAGTATTCCCACAGACGGCGCCAATTGTGGAGGAGTAGGTTTGGAAATACTCTTGGTTCTTGAAGGGTGTCCCTGATCTTCTGATTGCCACCTGAAAAAGGGATTAACACTCCGGTCGGGGGTGCCGGAATTAGCACTCCGACGGACAAGTTAGTATAGGTCTCATGTTTGCTTGAGTCTTAAGTTTTTTTGGATTTATTCTCACATACCTTTCTTTGGTTGATGTTCCTCTATTAATATTTGCTTTTGGGCCTCAAGGTCAGGCCCACTCTTAATCCATCGTGTGATTGTTCAATCGGCCCCTTCTATCGTATGCCAATTCCCACTCGGCTTTTTGTTCCACTGGTTCTATGGCCGATTAGACTATTCGGCGTCTGGATCGTACAAAACGGAGCCGAATATAAGGGTGTCCCTGATCTTCTGATTGCCACCTGAAAAAGGGATTAACACTCCGGTCGGGGGTGCCGGAATTAGCACTCCGACGGACAAGTTAGTATAGGTCTCATGTTTGCTTGAGTCTTAAGTTTTTTTGGATTTATTCTCACATACCTTTCTTTGGTTGATGTTCCTCTATTAATATTTGCTTTTGGGCCTCAGGATCAGGCCCACTCTTAATCCATCGTGTGATTGTTCATTCGACCCCTTCTATCGTATGCCAATTCCCACTCGGCTTTTTGTTCCACTGGTTCTATGGCCGATTAGACTATTCGGCGTCTAGATCGTACAAGATGGAGCCGAATATAATATATATCCTGATTTTCTAAGTGTGTACTCGGCCTCTCTGCATCTACCAATATTCGGCTCCCACAAGTATCAACAAAATAATGCCCAATCAGTGTTCATTCACCTTGTGAAGTAAATTAACTTCAATAAGTTTTTGTAAATGAACATCTTTCATCAACAGATATCCCATAATGCCCAAATAATCAATATAATGCCCAATCAAAATCAACATTTTCTAATTGAACCTTGTGAAGTAAATTAAGTTAACCCCATTTAAACATTCCCAGATTTCAATCATTTAGGGATGTTCATTCACATTTGATCAACTTAAGTCATAGAATAATGGATATCAACAGAATAATGCCCAATCAGTGTTCATTCACCTTGTGAAGTAAATTAACTTAAATTAGTTTTTGTAAATGAACATCTTTCATCAACAGATATCCCATAATGTCCAAACAATCAACATAATGCCTAATCAAAATCAACATAACAATCAAAAATTGAAGGCAAAACCCATAATGCCCAAACCCTAACAAACAATCATAACCCTAACAATCCTTAATTCATAAGGCCGGAAAACATGTTCTAAAAATTGAAGGCGAAACCAAAACCCTAACACAAATTGCAAGCAAAATCCAAACACAAACAGTCTGCTGCGACAAATTTGTTCGGAAATTGAAGCCAACACATAAACCCAACACATAAATCCTAGTTTTTTGTGATTCTGAGTTTACCTTTTGTTGTGGTACCTTTTTTTGCGTTGACACCGCCGTATGCGAGTCCACACCCGTAGCTGAAGATCTGTTCTACGCGTTCACAGAGATGGATGAGGATACGGTGTTGATGAGAGGATTTGGAAGAGATTAAGGGCTCGAATGCTTTTGGAGTGAGTAGATGATATTTTGGAGTCGAGTCTGAGGAGAGAGTGAGTACAAAGAGATGGTTTTGGAATCTGAGGAGAGAGAATAGACTTTGCTTTTTATTTAGGCTATTCGAGCTCTTTATTTCGAGCTACAAATTGTTTTCCATATTTATAAGCGAGAGAAGGCGAGCGGTGCAAGACGGCTTGGAAGCACGCATCATGCTTGCACATAAAATATTATATTTTAGTATATTTTGATCTAGAAAAAATATAATAAAAATATCATAATACTCAAAAAATAATATTAAATAATAATATAAAGTTAAAATTAATTTTTTTTAAATCATTTATAATTAAATAATACTAATATAAAAATTTAAGAAACAACTTAAATTTTTAAATTGTTACACAAATTGTCATCCCTAGGCATCAAGAGCCTCGTCATTGCCAAAGAAGAAGCTTTTGTTGGTTCTACGAAAATAACAGAAAAGGACTTAAATATAAGTCATTCCATAAGATTTGTCTTTATTATTTTATTAAATTTAATCTCTCTTTTTTTCTTTTTGATTTTTCACAGTCTTTTTAGTTTCTTTGTCCTAAATCTTTATATATTCATCTTTCATCTCTAGTTATGAAACAATTTTCAAATCCATTACCACCACAGAAGTTCAATAAAATTTCTCCTCCGCTAAATCTTTTTTCTATTGATTTCATTATATGGAGACTAAAATTATCTATTTTTATACATTTGTGAAGATCTGATAAAAAACTAAAATCTAAACATAGGAATAATATGAGTTTCAAGTGCCGAAGGGCTTTTTAACAGCGTGCAAACTTCAATATTTGTTCCAAATATTACACAAATGGTCGTCGCTCTCGGTGAGGCGCCCTTATACTTCGCCTAAAGCAAGGTCTTAGCCCGAGATTGGAAACTAATGAAACCAAAGCTACCCTTTTTTTAATACCCCCCAAAAAAAATGTGTAGTTAAAAATTATGTATTTTTACTCCTTTGTGTTGTGCCATCGTTGATGGACAAAGTATAACAAAAACTTTTTTGAAGGCTAGGTTTAGGTGATTCCCCATAATAGTCAATCATGTAGGCAGTGTAAAAATTTACTTTTACACATGGTGTGATGGTAACACATAATTCCAAGATTATTATTTTTATTCATTGTTTGATTTTGTTTGAATTGATGATAATCGTAAGTTTATTATTATTTTTATTCATTGTTTGATTTTGTTTGAATTGATGATAATCGTAAGTTTTGGTAAGATGGACTAGAATTTTAAAGAGAGGAAGAAGATGAAGAGAAAATAATTGAAATTTGAAAAGAAAATAAAGAGATTTGAATATGTAATTAAGGTGTATTATGAAAAAAAATATAATATTTTATTTTAAAATTTAATATGCATTGTCATTATTAATAAATTTACATTAAAATATTATAATAACTAAAATTTCAAAATTTTAACCGGACGTATAGAATTATTATTTACATGTAAATAAAATCACTCAATGTATAGCAATGGGCTTAGTGGGCGGCCCGTACCGAGGCCCAAAAAGCTTTTCGGGTTTCCCGCGCAAGACGAGCCTCTCGAACCTCCAAAAAAGCTTTCACTTCCCCAAACTTGCGAGAGAGGAGTTGCAGAAAACGCCGATACCACCACCACCAATGACCGCCGCAACAACAAAAGAACCACCGCACATCCGCCACCCTCCGCAGCCGTCCCTAACGGACGTCGATATTGTACGCCTAGCCCAGCAACAACCCCAAACCTACGCACCCCTCCCCAAGACCAAAACCCTCATATCCTTCCTCCACTCACGCGCCGCCTCTCCCTCCGCCTCTCTCTCCGTCGCCGAATACACTTCCTCTCTCCTCTCTATCCTTTCTCTCTCTCCTCACTCCTCCTCCGAAAACCCTTCTCTCTCCTCTCTCCTCCTCTCCTACATCTCCCTCTTCAATTCCCGCAAAATCCCCCACGATCGCAACTCTCTCACCACTCTTAAACTCTTCCCATTTCACTTCGAAAACATCCCCACTCAAACCCTAATCTCCATTTCCGACTCAATCGTCTCTAGTTTACCCCAAATTCTCGACCCCGACGATGCTCAAGTCCTCGATCTCCTCCCAAAATGCCTCGACTTGATTCGCAATTCCAACGAGATCGAATTACGCAGAGATTATGTCAATTCGGTGATTGATCGTGTTCTTGGTTGTGATTGGTCTAGGGTTTTGCTAGTGAAGATGGTTTCGATTGTTCGCGAATTTTCGTTTCTCCATAAGGGGAGGTGTGGGGAGTTTTTGGATAAGGTGTTTGGTGGAATGAGGGATGTGGAATTGCAGGACTTGCCTTCGCTTGTGTATCAGTTGTTGGTTTTGGCTTCGAAAGGGTTTAGCAAGAGAGATGTGGTAGAAGGGATTGTGATGTTTTTCGGATCGAAAATGGGGTCGAAAACAAGTTCGATAGTTCGACAGGTTGAAGGAACTGTGTTGCTACATGTGAATTTCGCGGTGAAGCAGGATCCTTCTCTGGGGCAAGAGGTTATGGGGTTGGTGAAATCAGATCTTCGGGCATTTAACCATTTTACTGTTGCGGTATTGTTGTCCATTGCGAGAGTCCGTAAGTTCAGTGAGTGTTCAATCGGAATTTTGAAGACAGCAATAACTACATCATACCGTGATTACAGTTTTTCCAAGTAAGGGTTGAAGGGTATTAAGTTCTATCTCATGTTTAAAGTTAATATAGTACAGTGGTAGTAATGTTGTATCCCAAGTTCAAATGGGTTTTTGTGGTGCTAATATGTTCCATGGAAATTAAAGCTATCCAATTTGTTGGAATATGATTTCAGTGGAATTTAATTTGAAATTCCAGACTTTGTTGAGTTGAGCTGAATCAGGTTTGTGGGATTTTTAATTGAGTCCATCACGGCATGGATGGTAATGAAATGTAGTTATCTTGTATTCCAGAAAGCATGTTTAATTGGGTTAGTTTTGTAGGATTTAATTTCATGTACTAGTGTCCAATTAGTTTGAATTGTTGTGATATCATTGCCATATTAATGTAGTGACTTTTGTTTTAGACATTTGGATGTTTGTCACCTGTTGCGGGATTGGTGTTTAGGTGTATGATTTTGTGACTTGGAGAACTGTCGGTGTGTCTTGATAATTTAGACTAATGATGGTTTCAAGGGATGCACATTTTAGTTTTAAATTTATTGTTTTTGTCTAGTTTTAATAGAATCCTTATTTTTCAGGGTTTGTAATTGGCTACCGGATGACTTGAAGGAAGAATATCTGCATAGTGTGAAAGTAGTGGAGAAGGCTGCGTTGAGAGCTGTAATTTTCCCTTTTCTTTCCATTCTGTTCATTTGAAATCATCTGTGCCATGGCAGACATGAAGATGTGAATAAGATATATGTGTTTATTGCTAAACTTTAGTGAGATGATGCTAGTGATGCCCTTTCTTCTGTTAGCTTTATATTACTGCTTAGTTAGCCTTTCTTGTACAATGTATGACAGCAAAAAGAAAAAAATGGAAGATCACCATCAATTAGATGGAATGATTGATGAACCTTGGGTAACAAACATGTAATAGGATTGTTAGCTATATGCATATAAGGGGGACTGGTGATTTTCATTTATTGTTTTAGAGTTATCATCAAGATACACATTCTATTTCTCATTCCTGTTAAGTTGAGATTTCTTTATATGTGTGTGTTTATGTATATATTGGCTTGTAGGTTAATGAGAGCAACTATGGAAGAGAGCATATTGTGCCTAGCATTGTACAGTTTGGCTTTGTATTGCTAGAATCAGTGGAAGAGGGAAGCAGCAAAGAGCTTGGCAAGTCTGATCAGGTGATGGGTATTGAAGAATTGGGTATTCAGATGCTTCAAACTTTGTTTGAGGTTCATGATATGGCAAGAAATGAGGTCAGTATAGCAACACTTGGTTTAGAAGTTCTGTTACTTTATTTTGCTTTATGAGTCATGACTTTAAAGTGAGTCTTCTTGATATGAAAGTATCTCAAGATGTTTATGTAGAAACTAACCACAATTCATGTGACATGATATTAATATTGTTGAGCACTACTATGACAATGCCATGAGCATGGCGTTGATTTCTTTATCTCTAGAAAATCAATTGCACGAATTGGGGATGTGCTTCCATCTGCGTGGAGTTACTTTCCTGTAAAGTCACATGCCTTCAATCTTCTCTCAGTACTTAGAACATTGTTCTTTTTGGTGATCACTGTGTCCTTGTCACACCTTCAATTTTATTATAGCATCATAATATTGTCATAATAGATACTTCTACAGAAAAGAATCATCTTAGCCAGCTTTTCATGGTTGCCTTCTTGATTACTGCATCAGTAGAAGAATTTCAAGACAGCTGGCCTCAAGCTTTGGGTGGAAAGATTTCTCTTCACAATCTTTTGAACTTCAAATAAATTTTTGTTAAACCTCGATTGAAGTATTTCTCTTTACAATCTGGTTGTCTTAAGCAACCAACTCTTCCTTGATAGTTCATTTTGTAGTGGTGCTTGACAGTTTCCATATTGTTGATAATGAATGGTCATTTAGTTGTGGTTGATTGCAGCAGTTTCTGTAGAATATATATATTTAATGAAATACACCTAATTTCTTCTCCTTGTGTTTTGATTTATTTCTCCCTCTCCCTTGCCCTTTTTCATCTTATATGCCCATCCTCATTTTATTTTTTTGCTTTTTTTCATACACATGCAAATACGTGAACTTCCAGTTAAGGAGAAGTATTTTAATTTTTGAGAAATGATTACCAACTACTCTTAAAGGTGTGCACATTTATGTTTTCGCAACATGCTATTGACCTAGTTAATTTTATGCAGATTATTGAACAATGCAAATTTCGTGTTCTTTCTTTGAAGCCCGAACAGGGTTTACCTATCATCAGGTAACTCCTTTTTATCATCAAGTTGTCAGCTATTTTTTAGTTTTAAAAAAAAGAGAGGAAAAGTTGTTAACTTTTTTTTGTTTGAGTTGGTATATGGTGTGTTTTAGTTAGTTTTTTATTTTTCAGATTGCTTGGTTATCTAGTTCAGAGATATCCGTATCCTTTGTTGGAACATGTTTCACGTTTGAAAGAACTGTTGGATTATTTCACTTTCATGCATGGCAATATTTCGACCCATCTTGTTACGATTTTGTTGCCCCTCATCAATTTCAGCCGTGATCTTCGGGTATTTATTCTTCTGTGTCTTAATTAAACAACATAGTTACGCATGTTTATAGAGGTCTTGACTCTTGAACAATATACAAAATCATCTTAGATTTGGCTATTCTAAGTTCTGCCTTCCTTTTGAACATCCATTATAATGATATGTGAGAATGAAATCAATCATTTCTTGCTAATTGTCTACTTTTTCAGTCGCTGTATTTTTTCTGATTTGGTTAGTTTATCTAATGGAATGCCATGTTTTGAGTTTTTAATGTTCAAACATGCAGTCTGGGTTTCTGCCTCATTGATGCAGGATTACATCATTTTAGTTGTGCGTAAAGCTATGTTTAACCGAGAAGAATCTGTTCGTATTGCTGCAACAAATGCCATTATCAACTTGATTTTGGCAGAAAAACAATCAAAATCAGACGGTCCATGTTCTTTTCAAGAATCATCTAGCCAAGCCAGTAGCAGCCAACAAGCTGAAATTCCCGGTTGTGGCATGGGGGCTGATCTTTTTCAAGAGCTGAGTGGTTTGCTGCAGAGATGTCTTTATCAGACGGTCTTTTTTCTTTTTTTTTATCTTCCTCTTCTCTTTTTGTGAATTATTTCTTCTTTTAAACCACATTTCTCACTGCAAATAAATCCTTATGTTCAGGCAAAAGTCAAGGAGGTCATGTACCATGGGCTTGTAAAGGTCATTTTGGCGGACCCATCCACTGCAGGAGCTGTCTTTGATTTTCTCTTGCCTCACTTCCTTCGGTTTTACAAGGAGGTACTAAAACTTAAGGGTCATGTGAACTTTTATCATAAAGTTTAATTCTTAATTACAGGTTTAAATTTTTGAGCTTTACGTGTGTGAAAGAGAAAAAGCAAAAAATTGTATTCATGTCATCATTTGCAAATGAAAAAATCATTTAGCACTGCTATTCACATTCGGTAAAACTACATGTGTTCACCAGAATTCCTCACTTGACATTGAAACATTTTTTTTTTCAGAACGAAGATGTTCAGCTCTGCGTTGGTAATTGTGTTAAATCAGAGAGTGGAAAAGTATACATTGAAGAGCCATTAGACTGCCTTCTCTCTTGTGTCTCTTGGATTCTTCTTCTTCAGCCTCATGGTAAAACTGACCATCCATCAGATTCATGGGCTTGTTTAGGTTTCTCCCTTACTCAAGAGAATGAGGTATTGCTATATAATTGAAGTTATACAACTGATGCATGTACCGATGACTTTAAGTTGATTCTCAGTATTTATTTGGAAGTGCCGCAGGGGGGAAGGATGTTGTCTGGTGAGTCATTCTCCTGCACATTATCAAAAATCCGGAAGTTGTTGAGAAATGGAAATTTGGAAGGTTAGTCCAGTTTTCAATGCTAGTATTATTTTTGGCCAGAAGTTTATTTCATGTACTCACCATTTTTGTCCTAAAAATTAAAGGGTGGCTCTTCAAAATTATCTGATGTTTGTTTCTTCTATTGTTTTATGTTTTGAAGGAATTTGTGGTGATAATGATGTGAAAATATATTATTATATCAAGAGAAATGATGAATAAAAATAGATTGTTTCTTTCTTTTCCTGAGAAAGAACAAAAATGTTTTCCACACTATTTGTCTAATTCCTGTTCGAATTTCTATTTTTGCTCCCTGGTTCACTTGTCGAACAAAGCTACTTCATCTTACAAGTTTCTGATTCTTTGCATGTCAGATCAGGCTTACTGAGTCTGACTCAGAATGCTGGCTCTACTCGGGAAGAAACAAAGAGCAGATACAGTGCTTTGGTTTTATCAGGGATATTTGAGGTGGTGTTGAATATTGTCGCCACTGAATTGGAGAAAGTGAATAATGTAAAAAGGGAAGATTTTGAAAAAGAGCTTATTGAGCTTGTTGATGCATACGAGTCTTTGGGAAAGTACACATGCACTTCTAAACAGGGCAATGGCACTAGAAGAGGGATAGTACGGTCTAGTGCTCATGATATACCCGATAACTCTGATGCAAGCAACATGAAATTGTCTCAAGAGAGAGCACCTTTCTTGGCAACTTCAAGTATTTACCAGCTACTTCAAACAGCTTTAAAGCTATATAAATCGGATTGCTCCAATAACGATGCAGCTTCCCCGAACCAGACCCAGTTGTCCTCGGGCAAGACATCAATTCGCTCTTATAAAATTTTATCTTTCATCTTGAATGCTTCCCTTCGTCATATAAAGTCTTTTCTTTTTGTGGGAAAAGATGATCCATTGAAGACTCTTATCTATGGAGAAATCAAGGTTTTGGGGCTGCCACTGCTGAAATTGGTTTGGTTGCTTATGTCGGTGCCAAAGTTTGAGACAACCCAAAAGAAAAGAGAAGTCAAGGTGAGGAAAGATGTTGAAGACAAAAAGGAAAACATCTATTTGGCCTTAACTTGTTTAAAGGAATTGATAACAATAAGTTTGCGGGGACCAGACGAGATGGGCTTGATTGAAGATTTGATGTCAGTCTCTTCGCCCGACCATGCATCAACAAATATGATGGATGTGAGTTGGGATGATGAATGTCAACAAGCCTCTGGCATTGATGATCCACTTGCAAGGAGCAAAGAATTGTTCATAAAAAAATGCATCAGGCCATTGTTCTCTGAGCTTCTTGCAGTTTCATTTCTCCGTGAAGTTGAGGTAAATGCATTGTCATTCATATCATTTCAGTTGTGCACAGTTTTCGCTTAACACTTGATTTGTTGCTAAATTCTATTTTCCTTTAGAAATACAACCATCTAAGGCATTAGTATGTTTTCAGATACTCTCTGATATAGTAATGATGATTGGGATCAAATTGCCCGGTGAAAGGAGAAACATTCTCGGAGCCTGGGCAACACAAATCTGCAAAAGCAATAATATAGCAAATTCCAAGGTTGCAAAAAGTGTAGTTTCACTTGCTCTCTGTTTAAGTTCTCCTCCCCATGATTTAGTCTTGGCCCAAGAAATGGCAACTGAGCTGATCAAAGTAATGGGGTCAGAGACGAGTGATCCATTGGAGATGTCTGAAATGTACCATGTCATAAACCATTCAACATGCACCACAACAGCTGCTTCTGTACTGCAATTAATTGAATCAGTCATTGCAGATATGGATCGGATCATAATGAAAATGAAAATGTGTTTAGCAGCCATTCGGAAAGGCATTCCCTTTGATCCTAATGGAGAACATGCTCTAGGATTTACTTTGGAAGAGACACTTTACTCAAGAACAGAAGCTGTGGTGACAGTCTTGTCTTTTTTCATGGTGATGAAACTTAACGGTAAGTTGCACCAACAATTCTGTGTACTTTCTATCATCTCCAATTTATTTGTTTGTATATATCATTCAGTTATTATTACTAGAAAAAAATCTGCAGACTCTCAAGCAGAACATTTGGTCAGATTGGCTGGAAGATTTTACAAGAATTTGGCTCGAATATCAAAGTTTCAGATCTCTCCTAAAGGTTGCAAACAAGTTTTACCAAGCCTCAAGTACCAGAAGCTTGTTGAGATCACTTGCAAGCAGCTAACTGCTCCTCTATATAATTTTGTAACACTGATGCAACGTGTATGAACCCTAGATCCTTTGAAATTCATTTTTTCGTATTCTGTTTTCCTACTTTATTTATCTGTGTTTTCATGTTTTTGAATTTAGAAGTATTTTTGCTGACTGGGTTATATTATACTGGACTTGTAGAATCAGCTAGGGAATGCAAAGAGTAGAGGAATTGTGAACAAGATCAAAAGGGAGAATAGATGTATCCCGGACTTGATTTTCCAGATAGAAGATTATGAGAAGTATCTCATCCAACTTAGCAAGGCTAGCAAAGTCAATTTGTTGAGGCATGCCAAGCGTAGCACTGCTAGGGACTTCAAGATTGTAGACCCTAGCCATGTTGTTGGGGAAGAAGATGCAAACCAAGAACCCAACCATGGCAATCCTTCTACTACTGCTGCTCAAAATGAACTGGGTGAGGAGAGTGAAAATGACGAAGGAAATGTATCTGAGAGGGGCTTGTCACCTGAATCTGGCAACCCTTTGGCTGCAGAGGCATCTGAATCAGATAAAGATGAAAATGTGCATACTAATGCCAAGAGAGCAAAGATGAGTAGAGTGGTGCAGGACTCGGATGATGAAGTGTCGCCATAACAAACCGAGTGAGCTAAGAAGGAAGTCCTGGTCTGTAAAGTGAGATGGCTGTATATATTTTTTGATTTCTAATTCACATATGAATGGATCTTGATGACAAGAAACTGGGATGGAAAGGGAATGAATATTGGGAAACAGAAGTGTTCAGTGTTGTTGAAACTTTGGCAGTTGATTTGAATATGAATATCAGTTTTGCAAAATGTTTGTCTTCAACAAGTAGGTGGTTTGAGCTTTCCTATTTGGCTGATCTCAGCAGTGAGATTCTTGTTCATCTGTTTCAGGCACGTATAATCTCCTCATTATGTGTTCTACTATATCTTTCTTAGGAAAAACTAATGGAGTTGTTACTCGGTATCATTTTCATTTTCTGAAACAGATGGATACATGTTGGGCAAACTGTTTTTAAGAAAATTTTATGAAACCTGTTTTTTAGGACACCAAAGAGTTATTATTTCACACAAAATAAAAGGAGTAAATTACACTTCAATATATTATCCTTGTGTCTATTAACATTTGTGTTAATTTGGATTGCTATAGACCATCTCCAATCCATCACATTTTCTTTCATCAAATTTAAATTTGATGAAAAAATTTACCTTTTGTTGTTTGTGTCTTTCATTAAATCACTGTTTATAGCTGTTAAAGTTGCAGATCATTTTACCACCGGACGACCTGTCGGATGTCCAACCGGTTGTTCTCCTGAATGATCACCTCCTTGCAAAAATTTGTAAAAAAATTATACTAGTCGGTCGACCGGCCGGATATTTACCCGGTCGACTGGTGTTTTGATAAAAATCCGTTAGAGCGGTTGATATTAGATAGAGTTTTTATTCAAATTTAGTGAGGAAAAAAAAAATACAACATTGGAGATGTTCTTAGTCTTTCTAGAAGACAAATCAAGTATTGTCATGTTAAATTTATAGGATTTATTCTATTTTTTAAAAAATTTAAGGGCAGCCAATAGAATTATTTAAATAAAAATGATATGAAAATGGTGAGTGATTTTCACCATTCCAGTTTTTGTTTTCCAAACCGGGGAAAACCAAAATGACGAAACTAGGTAGAAAACATGATTTGGTGATTTAACCAAATGTCATACACTTTCGCACAGAGAGAGAGAGAGAGGTATACACCGAGTCCAGATCCTCTGCCATACATTCTTGCAGTGGCCCCTGCGGTGGTTCAAAACGACGTCGTTTTGAACTATATTGAAGGAATGACAGTTGATTGATTAGATTGCGAGTTTGTTATATATTAACAATTATAGTAATATTCTTTATAACAATGGTACATTCCTCTAAATTAATGAGTTCTAATTAACTCTAATGATTTGAAAAGTTAAAAAATAAAAAATAAAAAATAAAAAAATACACAAGACATAAGCATCACTATCACAGTGGGATCCACACTCCATTAGAATTATTAAAGCTCCTTTATTAGAGCTCCAAAATATTTTTATATTCTTTAAACATAATTTTAAATTTGAAAATTGGTTGAGACCATGAAAAATTTATTTTTACTTTTCTCATTCAATCTTAATTGCATAAGATTCAATTTTATTATCGGACTCTAATGATATGTTTGATAAGTATTAAATTTTAATTTATCAAATATTTCATTACGTGCAGTTTAATCTCAGTATTATGAGATTATTTAAAGGTGATAAATTAAAAGAATATATCATTATCGATAGTTTTATGAGTTGATTTTTAAAAGTGAATTTTATTTAAAAGTTTGTAATAGTTTGGTATCGAGTCAACTGCTTTGCATTCAAGTGCAAAGAGAATAATCCATAGACTAAAGTTGAGTGAAGTTTTTTTTGGGTAAGTGAAGTTGAGTGAAGTTGTAAAAGGGGAATGATGGGGGAAAAAAGGGGTCAAAGGAAAAGAAAAAGGAGAGGCAAAAGACATGAAAGAACCATTTATGAGAAGTTTTTATTTTTTATTTTTTTTGTGTTAATTTATAGGAGTAAGAAAAATGAGATTATTCAAAAACTATGGTAAAAGGAGGTGCTGCAAAAGTTTGGTATATATTACTTTCGAAATTCTCTTTTTTTTCTTTTTTTTTTTTCAAATCAAAATAATGAAAATTTCACAAACATATATATATATATATATATATATTTTTGAGAATTCAAAAAATAATTTGAAATCATTTCATAAAAATCTGGTGTTTTACTTTTTCATAAAAATGACAAAGTGACAGTGGAAAATATAAATCATTTTGATGAGTTTTTCGCTTACATTTTGTTTGTTTGAGTGAAAAATATTTTATATAAATTTTTTTTTTAGAAAATATTTTTTAAAAAATATTTTTCTATGTTTAGTGATAGTAGTGATAAAGCGACAGCGGAGGTGGAAGTAATGCCATGGTGGTGGGGCGATGGTGGTGGTTAGGGGTGAAATCGGTTCGGTTCGGTCGGTTTTTTTACTATTTTTGCACCGAACCGATCATTTCGGTTTTTTATATTTGTAAACCGAACCGCCCAGAAAAATGACATAAACCGGCGCAGTTCGATTTATTACGGTGCAGTGCAGTTTTTCGATTTTTCGGTTTTTTAGCCTTTTTTTTTTCCTAGTTGGGCCTCACATTTTGGGCCTATATTTCAATCCATTTTGCGTAAAATTTGGGCTCAAGCCATGTAATTCCTACATATGTTTGGGGCCTCACATTTTGGACTTATTAATATCATATAAGTCGGTTCGGTTCGGTTCGGTGCGGTTCGGTTAAAAAAATCAAAAACCGAAAACCGAACCGAATGTGCAGAAAAGCAAAAACCGAACCGAACCGAACACTTGAAAACTTAAAACACAGACCGAAAACCGTTCGGTTCGGTCGGTTCGGTCGGTCCTTCCGGTTATTCTTTCACCCCTAGTGGTGGTAATAACGACGATGATGGTGGTAGTAGCCGTAGTGATGGTGGTGTATTGTGAAGATAAATTTACGGTGGTAGTGTGGTGATATTTATAAGTCTTAGTTTAGAAAATGTTTTTCGCCTTTTAATAGTAAAAAATATTTTATGTCCATATAGACTTATTTTCTGTTGATTATGAAAATTATTTTTCATTAAATTTTGTTTTTTTGTTATACCAAATATCAGAAAATACAAAAAAAAAAATAATAATAATATCTTCCGCCCAAAGAAAGAAGATAAAATCAAATCTATCACGTCATTGTTCTTCTTTTTTCTTTTATTGTTTTTAAAACTTTTAATATTAACAAAAAACGACAGAGTTGTTCAAAAAACAAAAACGACAGCGTATCATTTGCTGACATCTTAACAACAAATTACCAAAAAATAAAAATAAAATCATCCATATAGCAAAATAAATTAATTTTTAATTTTATCAATTTAAATTTATTTTCAATCTAAATTATCTGTTTATTTTAGTTATATAAAAATAATAAAAAAATATTTTAATCAATAAACTAAAAAATATATATTTAAATTGAATTATCTGTTTATTTTAGTTATATAAAAATAATTAAAAAATATTTTAATGAATAAACTAAAAAAAAAAATTTTAATTGATAAAATTTAAAATTTATTTTGTTATACATCTCAAGCTCTGATTTTTTTTTTATTTATCAATGATTTTGCCCCGAGAGAATAGTCTATACAAAAGTCACTCCAAATCAAATTAAACACACCCAAAGAAAAGAAAAAAAAAACAAAAGAAAAACCAAAGAAAAGTTATTTGGTGATTATGTTGTCGGTGCGATTTTGATAAGTGTGATGGAAGAGGTAAAATAAAAAATAATTAGTATTATTTCAAGATGCGTTATAACATTATTTTTCTTAAGATAATATTTACGTTTACCAATTCTGTTGAATATGGTGTATACCGGGTTACTTGTGAAACCGCCTCTAAGATATAATGAAGCCTGGTCTGCTTTTATATATGTACGAGTTTGTCCTTTAGACCAAAGATCGTGTCCTTTAGATTCTAAAGTACCATCGTTTAAATTTAATAGTCATCTCTTTTGGTTTAAATTCAATGGTTACACCTTAGGATTTAAATCTAAAAGACACATTTTTGTTTAAACGCAATAGTTATACCCTCTGATTTAAATTCAAAAGTCACATATCTTTAATAATTCATATAACTATATTATACATTTAAATATATATAAATATATTATGAAAATGTTTCAAAACATGAGTAGTGTGATTGATGGAAGGAATGTGTCCCATCTCCATTTTATCACCTTCAATTGCATTTCTAATGAAGTGACAAATAATAACAACTAATAAATTATTTTTAAATTATTTTCTCTCACATTAAAATTGTTTGTCATCTCATTAGAGGTAAAATTGAGAGTGATAAAATGGAGAATGTAGCAAAACTTGTATTAAGGGGTGATTTAAAAAGTTGGTTAAAAGTTGGCTTTTTAATTTTTTTTGACTTTTTTTGTCTGTTTCTGTTACGCCCACAAAAAAAAATAACATCAAACCCATCAATAGAGACATACATTGAAATATAAAAGCTTCACTTTCTGCTATTCATCAGAGTTCCATTACCAAAAATATTACATGTTAACAACAAAAGGAAATGCCCTAAAGGCTTACAGCTTTCCAAGTTAACAGTTGGTTACAACAAAAGAGTGCTAACTCATTTACACATTAAGTTCTTGGCTTGAATATACATGTAATACATCAAAGAAATAAAACAACAAAAGTCTGCTTGCCTCTAGCCTCCCAAGCTACGTCCTTAGAGGTGGCATGCTACCTGTACCTGAAAATGATATTCCCATATAGGGTGAGCCACAACCCAGTAGAAGTATACTAAACCAAATATGAACAATGACTAAAAGATTAGCAGTTGATAGATGGCCAACACTGATACTTTCCCTTATTACACTTTACAGTTTCATGACATACAAGTCCATGTTACAATCCATTTTCCAATTCTTTTCAATCCTCAATTTATAACCATGGCTCAGAACCTGGCCAAACAACTCATATGAGACAGTAACTCATATTAAGCACTTCCCCATTTCATAATAAATAAGCATACTAGCTATATCACACACCAACAGATAAGCATACAAGCTATATCACACACCAACAGATAAGCATACAAGCTATATCATCACTTCCACAAATATGCATAAGAGCACTATCACACTTCCAAGGCCTAACCAACCTGTAACAACCCTGCTCAAAACATCCTAAAACTCAATCAAGTGGAATTAAAGG